AAATATCACCTCTTATCCTTGTTATTCTACCCGTAACACTCAAATTAGTACCTATATGGCCTGCTCAAGTGCCAATCTCTCTCAAACACATTGAAGATGTCATACTTTGTACAACATCGTACAATGAAATATATTGAACTTTGCAAGGCCCACAAAGTTCAACAATGCTATGTTTCAATTAAATCACATATTCTCCTTTTTATTCTACCTGTAACACTCAAAATAGTTACCATATTGGCCGCCTAAGTGCAAAACCCTTCCAGGTCACATGAATTAGGCACTTTTGTACAAAGTTGTCCAGTGAATTATATGATGTTTTGCAAGGCACACAACATCATATAATATCACATTTTAATAAATTGTGGTCTTCTCCTATTCATTCTACCTGGAACTCTCAAAAAACAAATAATTCTACCCAAGAGTGTTCTTTCAAATAAACGAAGCAAAAATGTTTGAGATATTAATTTCATATGTGACAGATATCATCAAGTAATAAGCATTTCCTCCTCCATGTCATCCTCATTGTCAATGAGGACAAGATTATTCCGCATATCCTCTTCAAGAAGATCAATGTTGTTGCGCACTATCTCTTCCTCATGGTCGAACAAATCTTGTTCAATCATTTCGAATTCATCGAGCTGTTGGGCTTGGATGTATGGACCATGCAAAATCTTCTCCCAAACACCGCTGCACCTCGCAATCAACTCGTTCCACGCAACTTGCAGCATTGTTATAGCCTGAGCAGACTCGTGGGAATAATGTGCTGTTCTTTGTAATAACCTTGGCAGGTGAGTGTGCCAAAGGATCCAATTACGGCAATACTTCAATTGCAGATGACTGGGCAAGGCCTACAACACCTTTTGACTGGCTTCCCAATTAGCCTTTGAAATAAGTCCATTTCGCAAAACCCACTGTAATGGTCGTCTTTCTTGAGGTGCTCCAGCTACCCACGCTATACACAGGCACAAAAAGTAACAAATTAAAGAGAGAATACAATAATACAGTATGTCATACTCACGAAGGTGACTCAATGTGTAGAGGCTGGACAGTTTCTCTTCCATCTGTAGCGCGGATCGCATCATGTGTTGTATCTCACATGTGATTCTCTCCTTTTCTTCAGCACAGCTTCTTGCTGTTAGAAAAGCCTGAATACCGATTTGTACCGATTCATCGACCGCCCAGGGCTCCTCAGGATGGGTCAGATGTCCAATATTCCAAAAAGTGTTGGCAATGTCCATGGACTTCACCTCTTCGAATGTTGGTAGATCTAATGCTGGGGAATCCGGGTAATCATGGTGATAAGTTTCTACTTGTGATTTGTAAGTAGAATACTTTTGGGCCAATGCCTTGTTGCGCTTTTCCATTACATTCTTGTATCTGCCTTGTTCCGTAGTACCTAAGACAAAGAAAAAATTGAATAGCCATCATAGCATAATTTGTGAAAATTCGGTCTCACCAAGACCAGGTTGACTCCATTTCTTTTGCCACTCGATCTTCCCAACATAATCCTCATAAAGATTTTCCTTCGATATCCGTATTCGCATAGTAAGGCGCGCACGGGGGTCTGAGGAAGTCACATCATCAGTTTGACCTTTGATCACCAGTGATCAAACGGTGTCACTTGCCTTTAAGTTCAGGCATATTACGATATGCCTCACCTCCTAGGTCTTCGGCCACTTCTACAATAGATTTTTCGAGCTCAACCAGCGTGGATGGGAGACGTCGCAAAGCTTCATGTTCTTCTTGTGACAAATTACGTTGTCTTTTGCGTCGAAGCTTCTTGAGGTCGTCACTATATGTCATTTCATAAAATGACATATGAAAGCGATATTAACTGTTAATGACTGAGTGTGGGTTAAGAGTGAAGACATATGCAGACACTTACTGTGCATCTTTGAAATCTTCCTCAAGCTCGATCAGACGCGCCAGTTGAGCCCGCACTTCTTGAGCCCTATCATCTCCCATGATCTCGGCTTGGCACTGTCGCTGACGTTCCCATTGCGCACCCAGATAATCGACGGTGTGACCAACGGTTGTTTCCAGTTCTGTTAGCTTAAGGCGGGCTTCATCAGCCTTTTTCTCAGCAATCTTAAGCTTATGAACTACCGACTTTGCTGTTAATTAGAATTGTCAAACAAATATCAGTCGAAGTCAAAATAAAGAAACATAACTACTGCTGAAAAACTTATCACCTGCTTTCTCGCGAGAGAGAGCATTGTTATGCTGGAATTTGAGATGCAAGGCATCTACTCGAAACTGAGGGCTAGACCCCCGAAGTGGCGAAATCAGAGGTGAGACCTTGAACCATTCGCGTTCCAGGCCCTCACCATCAGATAGGCCAAAACGCGCATTAAGGCGTGGGTTGTATTGTAATTGACAGCTCCAACGGTGTACGTAGGCATGGAATGCGCTTGTACCAAACAGGAGACGATCTGCGGCTCGTTCATCGGCAAAGAGGTTGTTCTGAAAGATAAAGCAAGTTTTTAACAAAGTGAACATCGAAATAACTCAAATAAATCACCTTTATGACACCTTTTTCCATTGTGCATCCAATGTCATACAACAGGATAACACCTGCCTTTACCGATTCCGTATATCCTTCCAAGATGCATGTGAACAGTTCCCCAAGCAAGGCGTGGACGAAATGCGCCCTATTTGATGCTTGGAATCAGGGTTTATTGAAAAGGTTGAAGGTTGAGACATCAAATGGCTAACTTTTCACCGCTTTGTATCACATTCACCAACTTGATCATGTGATCATGCCGACACGCCATGCCTATAAGACCAGTCTCTTCGCATCCTCGCCAGCTGGAAGCATTACGTTTGTCTTCTGCAGCTGTGTGTTGTTGTGTGCAAGGGTCCTACGGAAAGGGCGAAGGTGAGTAGATGTAGATGTGCGGGTTGATCTCGATATGATCGAATAAGGAGATGAAATACCACCAGATCATCGTTCACGGTACCTTTGGCTTTTCCCGAAGCCTTCGGCGCCCATTGAGCCACTGCTTGCAGATGCATGAACAAAGAAGGCATTGAAACTGGAATTTCGGTGAACGTTCGACTAGCCGTCTCGTGACGGCGCTGTTGAAAGTTACCATTGACACAAACCACATATTGTGGTCCGCTTTGGATTCCCATTGCACCAGCCGGACCAAAGCACCGCGGACAATTAGCGGCGAGTTTCTGCAGAGGTGTGAGCTCGAGACTGCGACTCTCAAGCTCTTCGATCGCCTTGAGAATTTGCCGATAGCAAATGATTGCACCTGTGAGTGGTTGCCGCCAGAGGCAAGGCTGAATGTAAGGACCGCAGGTCGGAAGATGTGTCAGCTTGCTTGTACTTCAAGTTCAATGAGAAGATCACACCTCGTGAGTTCCAGGTACTAGTATGGGAGGGTTGAATGCATCCAAGTATGCATCTATCATCAATGAAAAAGGTTGAATGTTAGCATGGCAATACTGCCATGCTAAGTGATATAATCGAAGAAGTCGGAGGGAGAAGGCTGTTTCAGGCCTGGTAGGTGTACCTCCTAAATAACCCAGATTGATCAACCTGACTTGGTCAGGTATGCACAAACAGAATTCCACATTCAATTTGCAACGATCTTGAAGTCAAAGCATAACAGGAACATTAGATATAATTCAACATAGAGTAGTAATGAAACTCACAAAGTATATCCAATGCATTAACTGCTCGAGTGTGTTTCTTGTCTTTGGGACATGAGCACAACAGCGGGTCATTGAAGTCAAAATTCCAATTGTCTACATTTCCCCACTGCGAAGTACGCTGTGTGCCATGCATGAAAGCTACAAATACGCTTTGCATGATGAGTTTCCACTGCGCATCCTCTTGGAGTCGCCGATGCTTGTATGTATCGTCCGTGATCAATTGAGTTAGGGTGAAAGGGACAGGGTGTGCGTCTTCACCGGTGTTGTCAAAGCCTTCTGGAATGGGTGGCGGATCAGGTATTTCATCTTGATCATCTTGCTCGAGAACTGGATTGGGTTGGGGGGGATTGTTGAGCGCAGTACTAATTTCGTTGAACCGTTTCTTGCTATAAGCAATCTTAGCTTCGTCAAGTTCAGCTTTCAGGCGAGTTGCTTCAGTGTTTGGAGGCCCCTTGCGTTTGGATGCTTTAGAGGATCCTGGAAGGGGAATTACACGACCGGAGATTCCCATGAGAATGATGAATTGGAGACAACAGATTTCAGCAAATGAGGTGAGGAGAAACTTAGCATTTGATCAGCAAAATTTTTTTGATTGAGGATGTTTTGATGCGCAGGAGCCCCTGCTTTCCGGTCCATTAGACCCTAGTTTAGTGATATGTACCCCTTTTTGTTGGGAAACCACGGCACCTGCTTTATTTGATGAATTATGACATAATCTTTAGTATGGAATGAAAACAGAGTCAATATGTTATAATTGTGAGAATCCATCCAGCCTTGTTACTCAAAGAGTAAACGAAGCTTTTGCGTATGCAACATACCGTGATTCCATTTTATGTGAGCCGTACGTCTGAGGCGTGACACACTAAACGTTGTTTAGTCTTAGTGTCTTGTACATTGGAATGAATACGCCTTACCGTGTTGTCGGGAGCGATTAGGTGTGTGGGCGTGCATTACTCCACATTTCAAATACTGTTCAAGTGGTGGATGAATCTTACGTAAAACGTTAAGTACGGAAGTTATGTACGTAAGGGGTATGTCTTTTTTGTGACTCACGTGATTTTTGTGATTCCCACTGACTGGGGGGAATCATCTCCCACCGGTGGGAAAGCTTTACATAACTACATACTGAACATAACTACATACTTGAATCACGTGTTTGGAATCCCCACCGAAATTGAATAGAAGCAAAGAACTGCGTTTTGAAAACAGTGTTTGTTTGGGTGATTTCGATTTCAAGTTTTGGGGACAAATCTTTTCTCTTTCATATTCATTATTGATTTATACCAATAGTCGACCTCAAGCTTCCCTTACTTTGCTCTCGATTGACCTCAAGCTCGATGCCTTCTAGCAACTCAAGAGTAACACGTTCGACTCAAGCCAACACCACCAAACGCCAGACATCATCAACTAGAGCGCTGCCTGCTGCTAAACGACCTCGTCGTCAGTTGGTTGTTCCCCCGGTTGCGAATGCCCTTGATGCCCAACCAAATCACCTTCCAACCCCATCTGCAACCCAGCACAACGCTATCAATGAAGTGGACTTATCAGAAATCATGTTACAAAATTATCATCAGTACAAGAAATATTGGCCTTTAGCTCGTATTCAAGATCAATTAGCTCGCCAACGCTCATCTAATCATCAATTAAGCGCTGAGGTCATTGTAGAAGGACAGGCTGTACTTGAGGCCCTGGACCACACTCTCCATATGATTGCGATGATCTCTGGTGTTGGCATCATCAAATTGAAGTGATCACTGTATGTCTTGTCTTTTTCTCACAGAACTATTTAAAAATTGTAAGACTTGTAATTTGCTAACGTCAGTTGGTTGTTCTCAGCGGTTTATTGGGTGGAACCCATGGAGAGAATCCTTGGCATCGCTGGTTGAGCTTTGCTATTGCAGCCAACAAAAACCCAAGTGCGTGCAGTCAAGTAAAATGTGAATGTCATCAGCCAACTAACTAACTAACTAACAATCCAATCATGTTTGCTATGTTTAATTGTGATACCAGTGCCTCAACGAGGAGACCCCAATGCTGCCGCGGTCTTGGCCTTTCGGAACAAGTCCAATTCTGATTCTTATCAAGCTCTCGACGATGACAAGTATGCGGTGTTTACGTCTTGTGTGTTCTACGCACTTGGAGGTTATCCAGATTACTCATCAATCACCATCAATGAAGACATTAATGTCTTTGGTGATAGTAGCATTCTGGTGCCGGAGGTTCCAAAGCTCAGTCCAGAGGATGAGAATCTCTACCGACCGATCTATGAACGGCTTGTCGACGAGAAAAAGGTCAAGAAAGATCGGGAGCTCAATACACCCGGCACTTCGGTTCAGAATGAAGAGAAGCGATCTCTTCAGTGTATGAAGAAGATAGCCCAACAAGTATGTCTCTTTGGGATTATCCTCGTGTTCATTTGGTCCGTTTAACATCATTCTCAATTGAAAACTATTTTGTTTCAGCTTGCACGCGACCACCAACTAGTGGGCCTGGACTACTATATCATTGCGTGTAGCAATAATACGGCAGGTGGGGGATGGTGTCGAGAGTACACTTCTAGGGACGAGATGTCAACGTGGGTTTCCGCAAAAGCACAACTGCAATATGTATTTCCACTATACTGTCAAAATGGTACAACATACGAAGAAATCAAAGCTGTCGTAGCTTCGAACGCAGCGAACAATACTTCTGCAGTGACCACTCACCACAAAGTGTCAAACAATCAATGCGACAAAGATAAGAAGGATTTGGGTGGGAAGCTGAACGGCTTGTTGGGTATGTCTCTACAGCTTCTCAGTTCTCTTTGTTATTTGATCTGAGTTTGATTGATTGATTCCCATTCTGCTACTGTTACACAGTTCCATGAATATTGCCTGAGTAGCCATTGTGATATATGTAGTCAATATTTTGAAATGTGTGTCTCAATCTGAACAAAGTTACAGCATGTATTACACATGATTTCCTTATCTAGATGAGCAGATAACTGAGCGGACCTGTATGTAGCTGATAGCTAAGGATTTACTCAGATGTTTGCACATATGTAGTGTATGCTTTATGGCTCAGATGTGCAGTGCGAGATGATTTGATGCTCCATTCTTCTCTCAATGATATTCCCAGCCTAGGTCATGTTCCGACCAGGGAACCTATTTAATGCTGGCAGTGTATGTCTCTACAGCTTCTCAGTTCTCTTTGTTATTTGATCTGAGTTTGATTGATTGATAATTTACAGGTCAAATCCTGGTTAATGCGCCTGCTAAGGCTAAGATCTTTCCACGTGTGCCCGACCCAATCACCGTCTTGAAAGCGCGCAAAGTAGAAGTCATACAAGCGCCGGGTTGTTTGATGACGAAGGAGGTGTTGCAGAAGGGATTTTCAGGTATGGATGCAAAGGCTCGACGCAACTGGTTAAGCGATGTGAACAATGGTAAGTTCAGGTTGAGGTTAATTGTAAGCGCTGCTCAAGGGGTTAGTGAAGTGGAGTCTGCAGGTGATGTGAATACTCAGGTTGGTCAGGAACTGTTGCCAAGTCTGGATGATAATGATGTGGAGGAACTGTTGCCAAGTCTCGATGAAAATGATGTGGAGGATGCTGGACTTTGACATGAGTAGTTAATAGCTTAGCTTGTATGGATTGAATTGTTGTAGTACAGATGTGAGCTATGAGGTACTAGAGGTGTATAGTTTGTCGGCAATATATATATGTTCGTATTCACACTCTCACCATCATGATATGAATGTGCAAGTACAGGTGACCTCTCGTGTGTCTGCGCGTGGGAGGTGTAAATTTTTTATTCTCATAATTGGTAATGAGTCTGGCGTGTCAGTGTGAACTTAAGGACCTTGATGGATCAGTGAAATATATGTGTGAATTTTGATTTCACACATGGGTGAATGATTTGTAGTATGTAAAGATCAAAATGTCATTGTTTTGAGTGGTGAATAAACGTTTGAAAAGGTCCATAAACCTTTTACAGCTCAGCTTACAAGACTTGGTTGTTTGTTCAAAGCGTTGGTCAAAAGAGCTACTTAACCGCTTCAAGGGTTTGGGAGTACACGACTATGTTTGTATTATGTTCAAATTTCATGATTAAGGATGATGTATGTTTGTTTGTGGTTCTATGAAAGGTCAGCAAAGGTATGAGGTTGGTGTTAGAGGCATGTAGCTTGGATCGATAAGTCGATTGGCCGTGATGGTGGGCTGCTTGTGTATAATCTAAAACCCAGGTCACAACTGGTGATCTGCAAATCGATGGTGTGTGAATGTGGGAATTCCCTTATATGCGTTTCAGAAAAAAAATGGGTCTTAGCCCCACAGGTGGGAATGGGTATTTGATGTGTGAATTTGGGAACTTGTCTGAATTTTGAAAAGTCAGCTACAGGTGGGAATGGACGTTTGTTGTGTGAATGGGGGAACCACCGGTCTGAATTTCACAAGATGTCGGGTGTTGAATTTGGGGGTGTGAATGGGGTGTGAATGTGGGTGTGGAGTGGGGATTGTGGTTTGTAGGTAGGGTGAATGGGGGAATTGATCACTTTGATTTTGAAGTGAGTCGATTGGTCAAGAATGACTTGTACGGTGTTGTGTTGGCTATCCCAGACGTCTGGGAGGTCTGTGCAGCAAGCTACAGTACGACACCGTATGCTTTCACATAGATGTCACGGTATTACATCGTGTGATCTGGAACACACAGGTGACCAAATGATGATAACTTTAAATTGTTGGTACCGTCAAATGGCGATGATGAGATTACGAAGAAACCATTTTCAAGTCTTATTGGTGGTTTGTTGTGGGTAGCACAGTGTACGAGGCCAGATGTGGCATTTGTGGTGAATAGGTTGTCGCAGTTTTTGAAGAAACCGACTGATGGTCATTGGAATGCAGCGCTAAGGGTTTTGGGGTATTTAGTAAAAACAAAAGATTTAAATTTGAATTTAGGAGGAACTGAATTAAATCCGAGAGCTTATTCTGATGCTGACTGGGCAGAAGATCGACATCAACGAAGATCAACGACTGGTTACGTTTTTATGTTGGGAGACGGACCTATCTCGTGGAGATCAAGAAAACAAAGAGTAGTTTCGCTTTCAAGTACTGAGTCTGAATACATGGCGATGAGTGATTCGTGTCGCAAAGCAAGATGGTTAGTTTCATTGTTAAATGAGTTAAATATTTCAAAGGATAAAGTCATAAAATTGAGTGTCGACAATGAAGGTGCGGAGGCTTTAGCTCAAAACCCATCACACCATTCGAGGACGAAGCATATTCATACGAGATTTCACTTTGTGAGGCAGTGTGTGGAAGATGGGATTGTAAAATTGTTTCATGTTTTGACTTCAAGTATGTTGGCTGACATGTTTACGAAAGGGTTATCAAAAATTTTATTAAATAAACATAGGCTTTCTTTGGGAGTGTTTTAAAATTATAATGCTATTAGCACGGGGGGATGTTATGGATGTCTATTATGTGACAGTGATTGTAAATGACATCATGTTGTTATGCTAATTACATTTCTCTCTATCAATATCTTTATAACCTATTAGCATATTGTTATATATCTATTGTAGATTTGGTTGTAGATGGATTGGTCTTTCCTCACCTTTCCTATATCAACTAACATTTCTATATCAGGTTAGTTATACAAGTATGCAATCTTACCTTTCCTATATCAACTAACATTTCTATATCAGCTGTGATCCTTCTTATCAGTATATAATGAAATGAAATCTTTAAGTCTGAGTATTAGGACCCCACTATCTATTGCCCCCCTAGGAGATACCTGTAGCCCCCATGTTTTGGGGTATTACCTGACACGCCGGGCAAATTGAGGTCATGGAGTGAATACAGGTTGCGCAGTCATGTTGAAAACAGAAAATATTTTTGCACCCTGAGTCATGTCACAGCTGCATGACATGTCTTCATGTATTGCACCCCCACCAGTCATACAAGTGACATGGGTATCTGGCCCACAATGATGGGCCAATACAGACCTCATGAGAGGCTTATAGCTATGTGACATATACATCTCAGTACGTACTCAAATACATGTGATTGGTATGATTGATACAGAGTGTGTACAGGATAATGAGTCCTGCATGCATGACAGGTGCCCCAGGTCCTGGCATACATTCAGGACCGTGCAACCTGTATGCACTGCATGACCTGAATTTGCCCGGCGTGTGAGGTACCCAACACAGCCCAAGCAAATCTAGCGCTGAGTCAGACCTCAGGGGGCTACTTCTGTGGGCTTCATTGTGATGAAGCCCTTCTTTATCCCAAGATGAAGCCCTCTGCCTCTTTTGTTTGGTCTCCTTTGGGACCGCAGGGGCCTCATCATCAAAATAAAAGTAAATAACAGGGCTACTAATTCAGTCAGTACCTTTAGGTCCGTACAACCAATCAAAACTTTCACTGATCCCACTGTGTCAAATCAACATCAGCATCCCCCGCACCCAATGTCTTCAACATCAGAAGTTTCACACCCCACTGCCGCCAGGAACAATCTCATGGATCCAATTCCATACCCACCATTGATACAACCTCACAAAGTCACATTACCTCATAACAAATCAAATTGGTGTTTGGGAATTAGGAAATGAGTTCAAGCTATTTGAAGTTGAAGGTGTTGGACTTGATTGGTGCTTTGCAAAATTTATGCGATTTGGAAGTTGGTTTATTAAGACAAAGTGAATCTGTATCATCATCAAGACTTTATGATTTTTAAACAATGAATTCAAATCAATCAGTCCAAACAAATGCGGTCTTCAAAGTATGAACTGTTTGGATTTTATAATTGCTTGTGTTGAGAAGACTGCATGACTAATTTGTTACTATCATACCTGAAGGGTAATCTCTTTTGGGTGGCGGAGCTGCAATTTGTAAGAAAGGTGTAGAAGTAGTCTTGAGACGTATGTTCAAACCAATCACTGAATCATAAGCATCACATTCATCATGTGCGACCAATAGCAACTCAACTTGACAATCTTGAATTCACTTTTTAACATGCAGAGCATCTCCCTTCATCTTTGGTCGACATAAAGAGGTACCAGAAAACACTTGTAAAGAATTAACCAATTCAACACATTAAAACTGTTCATTCTCATCAGGAGATTTTAGAAAATTAGAATCACTTCAGTCTGTAGTTGACAGTTGTATAAAAGAGTTGGTAGAATTGATTTTATAATTGCTGTTGCTGCTGAAACCTTTTTGTCTCCAATAACTTTATAAATTATTTTAGATCAGTGATTGAAATTGATTTGATTAGCATCTTCTTTTGTTTCAGAATCAAGCTGTGAATCATACTGCTCAAGGTTAGAAATGATCATGACAATGGGATCAAAACAACTAAATGAAAAGTTGAAGTGACACCCCCTTCTTTTTGAAAAGGGGCTACAAATCCCTTGACGCCCCCTGGGTCAACCCGAGGGGGGCGACAGATATTGGATAGGGGGCTAGAAATAGTGGGATCCAAGTATTAAATATTAAGTGA